ATATCGGCCAAAATCCCAATATCGTGCATCCCTAGTCATTTTCACTGTTTCCTCCGCATATGGCTTCTGATCTGAGCACTTTCTACAGATGATGCAAACAGGACATCTTAAGGCTGCCTGCCCATGGCTCTCTACTTACAACTCTTCCATAAAGAGCACATATCTGCATGAATAATGGTTTTCCTGTAGACACATGAGCTGTGGATGTGTGCTCCTCCAAACCTGGCTAAACCTGTCCATGCTTGCCTTGGGAGTTTTTAAAAAATTATTTCTATTATAATTTTGGATGTCTGTGTTTCCCTCCTGGATCTGTGACCCATAATCTGATAAATGAACACTATAGATGGATGAAGCCCTTAGGTAGAGTCAACAACAAGTACAGGGTAAAAACAAACGTACAGCCCACTTTCCAGATGTTAAAACCACACATTTTCTTCTACTTCATAATAATGTATTTTATGTTGGTCTGTCAGATAAAGTCCCAATAAAAAAAAAGTAAGAAAATATGGAGTGGACGAAGCCATAGCGTTCCCTTTGCATTGCTCCATGGATCAAAGATGCTTACTGACCTTTCTCTTATAAATTTTAAAGCAAAATGTTTTGTTTTCTTATCTTCTTATCTTATGTTTTGCAGATCCACTGGAAGTTGTGCGTGTTCTGTCTGCTGTGTGAGGCCTACCTCAGGTGGTCTGCGCTCCACGGCTCTGAGCGGAGCAGCGACCCCGCCGACATAATCCGCTACACCAAGGAATGGGAGTTTTATGGCAAGTTTGGATTGGCAGCCCTCGGTAAGATGATTAAACACGTCAAAGCTTCTAAACGCAGAGCCGGAAAACAAGATCGTTTATGTTTGATTTCCCAAAGGATTCATTAAAGCATTCATATTGAAAACAAACTTCTGTATTCTATTATTTTTTTATTAGAGCTGATGGCGTTCTGCGTCGGCGTCCTGTCCTTCCTCTCGCTGTGGATGTCCTGTCTGCACGGAGGGGGCGTAGAGTTCAGGCCGCTCCTCAGGGGCTTGCTGCTGTCCTGCTACGGTAAAGTCCTCCTCATCCCAGTCGTCATCTGGGAGCATGACTACTCCCCGCTCTGCCTCGGCCTCATCAGACTGTTCGTGCTCACCTCCAACTCGCAGGCTATCAGAGGTAAGAAGACACTGTCATCTTTCCACTGCTCTTTATTTGACATATCTAACCTTTTCGTCTCCTGCAGTGATCTTGAACTGCAGCAGGCGTCTGTCACTGGCGGCTGTTTGCTTTGGCCTCTTGTCAGAAACTCTTATCGCTCAGGCCTGCAGGAACCTCCCATGGAGCATTCAGGACCTGTGGACATCATAATCATTGCCAAAGCAGGGATGGATTCCCCACTACTGATACCAAGCTAATGAACCTGAGCTCGGATTATATTTGTATACATTGAACTTCTTTGAAAAATCAGAAACACAATGACTCATTTGTCCTGTTTGTTTTCTCTCCTCTTCATTCAACTAAAAAAAAACTTTGCAACATGAGTATTTCCAAAAAAAAGTTAGATAAAAACAATCCACTGGACTTTGTTTCCAAGTTTGAAGACGTTT